AATTAATGCTAAAAAAACAATTAATAACCATAAAAAACAAGCTAACAATAAATAACTAGCAAAAATAATTTAAGAGTCCTGCTTAAACTAACATCTTACAACCTAATATAAGTTATTTGTCATCTAATCTGCAACAACAGAAGTCACACTGATGTTACTTTAAGTTGAATTATGTGTATAACTGAGACATTGCAAAATGTATTTTATTTCAATGCAAATAAAGAGTTTTGAGTTATTATCCCTATAATCCCGAAGTCAAAATTATTTGACGGCACGTCTATGACCTCATTAAAAATTTTTTTTAGAAAAATGGCATGTTGATGTATAAAGGTTCGCCACCCTTGACCTAGACAGACCCCTCATAATAATTATTTTATCAATATTTTAAATAATTCTATCAGAAGAACAAACTACAATAATAAAATTCAAACTCTTATAGAATAATTAAATACAATTCACAATTTTTAGAAAATTAAGGAGCATTCTAATTGAATTTGGTTTGATCATTCTGCTTAAAATGTATCAATCTATTTCTTAATGCCTATATTTTATGCGAATTTCTATTCTGATGAAAAAGTCACTGTAAAAAATGCTATCAGTGCAGCTTTGAAAATATGTTTTACATTAAAATAAGTTGAATTTCAAAACATTTTATTTCAGCACAAAATCATTTGTTTATAAAGAGAGGACAATTTCTTCTCTTAAGCTAAGGACTGAACAAGTTTTTTTTTGCTCAAACGGCTTGATCAGAACACCTAGTGGCGAGATCTAAAATCTCCTATTCAGGAACTGACCCAGTGTTTCATCCAATAGTGTCTTAGATGTAAGATGTGTCTTGCAAAAATTTTCTGAAACAGCAATATCTTTTCTTTTTTTAATGTAAAGAGATATTGAAGCATTTATTTTAATATACTTTTTTATCTTATAGATGTACCCTCTAAATAAATCTTTACTTAAATATTTTTGATTTAGGCTTATGCTGTTCAAAATGAATTGATCGTAGAAAACTTTAAAGTCAAAGGAGAAAAGAGAAGATTTGTATGCGATTTTTCAATTGACTTAATTTTAGTGAGTACAATGTTTTCTTTATAATATTTTTTTTGTTGATAAAATGAAATTTTAATAATTATATTTGAATTTAGAAAATTAAGTGTCTTCTAATATTTGTTATCAGGGCTGGCATTTCATCAGGAAGAAATCTGTTTTTTCCAGGACAAGGGAAGAAACTATTAAAAAAAAAAATCAGCAGAAACTGCACAAAATGACCAATACAATTGTTTAGCAATGATAAGCAATTTAAGAATAGTTCAAATTTAAACAAATTAAATTTAATTTAGTAACAGAAGGTTTGAAAAAAGTTTTAAATTTTTTTTTATTTTTAAAAATGATTCTTATTTGTTATTATTTTTTTAGGGAGAAATTTTAAATCTCTATATCAAATTGTTTAGCAGTTTATTTGATTATTTGTATTAACAGTATTTGATTATAAAAAGTTAGTATGCTTTTTGAATTAAGAACACAATGTGTACTTTTTAATGTCTATAATAAGTACATACCTATTAATTCAATGGTGTAAATAATATTTAATAATATTATTTTAACAGTTCTTTAATTATAAATTTAGATTTTCCTTAATTAATGTAAAATTTTATAAAATTAGTTATTTTAATTCTTTTACTAAATTCATAAATGAAAATTTCCTGTTTCCATTTATTTAAAAATGATACGTCCCGCAGTGAACTGTTCATTAAGACACGGTTCCCAGCAGATCACCGAAGTCAAGCATCACTGGCTGCGGTCAGTGTGCGGGTGGGTGACCACTTGGATCAGTCTGCGTAGGGACCGAGGGTGTGCGGTATTGGTCCTCATTAAACTGTGCTACCGTAAAGTGCTCGACTAGCCTGTGATAAAAATAACAGGCTGTTCCGATATAGCATGTTTAAAATATTAGGTGGTAGTTTTATTAATAATAAGTTGTTAAGACACAGAAGTAGAACCGCAAGAGGGGGGGGGGCTAGCGGTGGACTATCAATAATTTTATATTTTTAAAAAATTTTTTTATTTTTTTTTTTATTTAAACTTTAGAAAGGCTATTTTTTATTAAGAAATTTAAGACTCCCTAAATGTATTTTAACAATATAATTGCAGAATAATCATTTTCTTAGGAGTGAAATAAAAAAAAGCATTTAATGATTTACTTCGGACGCAAAATAATTTTAAAGAAACGAAATTTAAGTACTATTATTAATGTATGATTGGAATCAATATTTAAATTTAAGTTTATAGAACGAAATTTGATTTTATTGGAGCTAAATTTTATGACTTCTATTGCAGCTCTTTTATTTTTTTAGGCAAAGGAAACACAGCAATTGAGACTTACCATGATTTCACATATACGTTACAAAACTTATCGTATGGTACTCACGTACCGCAGTGGACTGATCGTTAAGACACGGTTCCCATCAGATCACTGAAGTCGGCTGCAGTCTGTGTGTGCGGGTGGTTGACCACTCGGATCAGTCTGCGTAGGGACCGTGGGTGTGCGGTATGGGTCCTCGATAAACTGTTCTACCGTAAAGTGTTCAAATTCGCGTGCAGGTCGTCGGGCTACCGAAGCGGGGTGCCATCCCCTCCGCAGAGGATCAAAATTGTGATGGCATGTCTTCGGATCATCCTCAGGGATGCTTCCCAAACCGTCGCCAATAGCCCATTGTGCAGCTCTAGTCCGACGTAAATTATAACAACAACAACAAAATGATACTTTAAATAGCTCAAAAATTTATACTTTTATTTAAACTGGATTGCAATTATAAACTGTTTAAATTTTTTATACTTATTTTTTGAAAAATAGTTCTTTTCTTTTCTTTGACTTGAGTTGAAAGAAACATATTTCTTATGGGGCAGTTTTTTTTCTTCTATGGAAGAAAGTTGCTATCCTTGTTGGTAGGGCACTGGGACCATGTCCAGGAATTTGTGGGTTCGATTCCCGCCGACCAAAGTCTCCCTGTGTAGTAAATGGTGACTGATGCACGTTAAATATGTCAAGCCCCAAAGTCCCTCATGTTCCCATAGCCGATCAATACCTCTGGGGGTACTGATCCAGGAGTTCCCTTTCCTCTGGATTGGTTCAAAATTACAAGGCTACAGAGTTGAACATTAGTAGTTGCAAACCCAAAATTGGGTTTGCTGTTCAACGACGAATATAAAATTAAAAAAAAATATCCTTGTTGGTTTGATTTTATCATTGATCTCTTATCTTTTTTTTTTGTTATTTTTGACTGCATTAACTTAATTATTGATGTTTAAATTTTTTTGTTTATAATCTGTTCAAGTTTTAATTTTTTTTTTCACTTACGAGTTTTATTTATTATTTTTTTAAATTTATTTTTACATTTTTGGGGGAATTGAATGATTGCATCGGTTTTTTGGGACTTTTTTATGGCTTTTTTTTAAGCTCCGTTAAATAAATAAATTTATATCCTCATATATGCCTAAAAATGTAATTTTGCAAACATTGTACTGCTCAGAATAGAAAAACAATTTGCTCCAATCTGCTACAAAAACCAAATTTATTTGCTTCAAAACGCATTTTTTCTGCTCAGAAATGGTTATGCTGCTGTTCCATTCTTGCAACTATTTAATTTTCTAAACCATTTTTTTCCATGATTAAAATAAAGTATGTTTTAAGTTTTTTCAATTCCTGCTATTAGGTCGGGATAGCCTGATTTGTAAGGCACTGAGCCCTCTTCCACGCTCACACTTTCCCTATATATATATTTATAGGTCTTCAAATTTTCAATAGTTAATACAATACTTTTTGTTCATCCTCTCAAGTTCAAATACATTTTTTCAAGCTTTTAGTGGATGACATTTGTTGTTAATACAGTTTTTTGAGTTATGGATTCATTAATTAAATTTAATAAATTAATTTTAGTTTGTCTAGTTTAATTAATGTTGTTTGTTTAGTTTAATTAATTAATTTTAGTTGCCTTATTAATTTCAAATGTGATATGTAATTTTAGAAATAAATATTTTGCTGTAAACTTGGTTATTTATGTTTGTTTTAATGATTTTTTCCCTTCATTTTATATAGTGGTCACCTGATTCAGATTTAATAACTTGCTGCATGTTAAAACAGAATCTCATACAAGTATGAAATTTATATTGATTTTGTTTTGAATGTATTTAATGCATCTCAGTACTTTCTTGCTTTTAAAATCCAAAGTAGCATTAGGCTATTAAATTTCAGTATTTAACTATAATTTGTAAATCCCATTTTAAATCAGTATAAGAGATTTATTCTTGTAAAACTGCTGAAATTTAAGAATTAATCCTTCCTATAGTCTGTAGTTTTAGCATTTATCCTATATTCCACAGTTTAAAATTTTTTAAAGCACATTGTTTAATTTCAATTTTTAAAATTAGTCTGTGAACTAATCTTATCTTTCTATGTCACATTATTTAATTACTAAAATTAATAGATTATATTCTTGGTTTGAATTGTTGACATTTCAAGCTATCAAGATTTCATTAAATATTTAAAAAAATTCGGTTGCAAAATGTGTTAAATAAACATCTGCAATTATAAAAGAATATTAAATTTAATTTTATTGTAAATATTTCTGCCATGCGCCACTTTACTTCAAAACTGCGAAATCCCCCTTTTTTTCCATCTGATTTTTCTTAAATTAACGATTCTGCAAAAATTGATTTTTGAGCTGGGGAACTATCAACAAATTGTATAAAAGTGATTCAAGTACTTTATCTATTCTAACTGAAATGTTGTTTCTGTAAACACATCCCAATTATAAATTTCCAATAATAATTCCAATAGAGATTTTGATAAGTAATGATATTTTGAAACAATTAACAGTAGAATTTTACAATTTGAACTGAATTAACTCAAATTATTTAAAAGGAAAACTATGTTTTTTTTCTTCCAAACTTCATATTTTATTTAATTTAATAATTCTTTTAGACTGTAATTATTATAGCTTAATTCGTAATTTTGAAATTTAGTTTCTAAAGTTGTCTTGCCTTGCAAATTTAAGCTTTTTTTTTTATTTTTAGAAATTGTTGTGGCTGTCGGTTTTAACTTAAAACATAATATTATTTTTATACATTTTGAAGTATGAGTTTCGCATGGATTTATCTCTTTATTACCGAGTATTTAGTATGATATGTTTCCAAATGTATTTTATTTGTCTTTTATTTATCTTGCTACAAATATAATGTTTTATAGGTATGGAGTCTATCCGATCCTAGCTGGAGATGTAAGATTAACGAAAATGCTATTAATATAGCGCACATTTCTTGGGCTCCAGATAACAGACATTTAATAGTTCTTAGTGAATTTAATGTGAGGATATTTCTCTTTGTTTTATTAGTTGTATTTTCATTTTTTGTTTCGATTTAAAGCAAATTAAAACAAGTTTATAATTAGTTTTTGTACAATGAGTTTATTTTTCTTCTAAAAATGCTATTAATTCAATCTTCATGGTTGTAGAATAATTGTGATGTTTATATCATAGCACGTTTCAAAGTATTGAATTCTTGGTGCTAAATATGTATCTCAACTTTGTTACTTTACTGTCCCCTGTGTTACTGACATGTATTTTTTACACCAAAAAAGACAAAAATACTTTCATTTAAGGATGACAAGAAATATTCAACATGTAATTGGTATCAGTAATAAATTCTATAAATTTCTCAAATCAATGTATTTTTTATGAAATTACGCAAACTTTTAAGTTGTAAAAATATTAAAATAGTAACGCAGGGGACATAATTTGCTTACTTAGTGACAGATATACAGGCATAAAAAAAAACTTTACCTGTAGTAAAGAACATTCACATCATAACAAGTGTTACCAGTGAAAAATTGCTCATTTTTCTATTTAAAAATCGCTGCTAAAGCTTGATTTTGATTTTTGAATAAGTAATTAACCACCTTAGATGCATTTTGGTTAAATTTTTTTTTTCTTTTTAATTTCCCATTTATCAAAAGTGATCTGTATTTTTGGAATGATCCATATACAAATTACTAATTTATTGTTATTTCCTAGTGTAAATCATCTCCTAATTTTAGTTGCCATTACACATAATATGTTAGTATAATTAAAAATATGTTAGTATAATTAATTTTAAAAAGTAATTATAGTTTGAAAGCTTGCATATTTTTGGGCTGCTGGCTTTCAGAAATTTTTATTTTTTATAGACCTTTTGTATAAACAATGCCATAATACATTATACTATTTTTAAATAAAGGGATTTTTTCAGAAGATACAAAATAACCTCCCTTCCTCTGTATAAAAAGGGCTTTAAAAACTAGTAAAGCAATTTCCATTAATGCTAAAAAAAATAATTGCAGTTAATGTATGGAAAAAAGCAATCTTGCACTAGTAATATATAAATATTGTACTTGTAATGTATTGTAATTGATGTAATATATTGCAATTTAAATTTATTTGAAAATGTAAAATTCACAAATTATAACTTAAAGCAAAAGCTTTTTTTCAATAATTATCTTTAATTTTTTTTGTCTTGTTCAAAACTGGGAAGATGCATTTTGTTATATTTTATTTATAACAAATATGTAACCTTTAGCCTAATACCTAACCTAATATTTAACCTTTTAACTTGTTATTATCAGCAAAATATTAAAAGTAACTGCTGAAAAAATAACTTCTTAAAGAAGTTTTGGGAATAATTCTGTAATTTTATAGATGTTTTAGGTATTTGATTTTTTTAAAAAACTTCAAATGTTTATTTTTCAGTTTAAAATCACAATTTGGTCACTTGCTTTATCAAAATCTACTGTAATAGCAAATCCAAAATGTGTCAAGAACTGTTATGCCTTTTCAAAGTGTTCCAAGTACATGGCTGTTGTTGAGAGAAAGGATTTTATGGATTTCATTGGCATTTATTCCTGTGATAATTTTCAGCATTTAAAGGTAAAAAATATTCCATATAACCACATCCATATTCCATATAACCACCTAAATATTACCTTATAATATCTCAGAGAATATTGCTTAACAGTACCTTATGTTTAGAATTGTTACCCTAATGGGTAATCGTAATCTTTATTATTAATATTATTATTAAGATATGAAGTAATAATTAGTTGTTATTCAATTTTTAGATTATTTTCTCTTGGGAAATACACTGCTGGCTTTTATATTTTTATTAGAATTGTTTAAAAATACCATATGCTTAGAATTGTCTCTCTGATAAGTAATCATTTTATTTTATTATGATATAAAATAATAATAAATTTTATTATTATGTAAATCAGGGTGTGTAGTGTTTTTAAAAAATGCTTAAAGGTACTTATTTTTTATTTAAATTTTTTAACAGCCCTTAAAGGTGCTTTTTTATTCGGGGCTTGTAAAAAGTGCTGAATTTCCTATCTTTTAAAAATAGATTTTTTTTCTTTGCCATGTTGATTGTTCTTCTTATTACAAAAAACTTTCACAATCTTCTTTGCAATATTTATCAGAAACTAGTTATTTTTATCATGATTATGTAAAGTTTTTTTTGAATATTTTTGAATTTTATTGATTTTGTGCTTATAAATTAATGAATAAATAATAGAAAAAAAAATCATTTTAATTGATAGAAAAACACTATCACTTTAAATGATAGAAAAAAATTTTTTTTATTACTGCACTGCTCCTAATTATGAATTTTTTTTTTGAAAAGTGATTAAAAATATTTTTTGAGTGCTTAAAAAGTACTTAAAAGGTGGTTATTTTTTGTTGAAAAATCTGGCTATGCACCCTGACTGATTAGCTATTTAATCTATCTATTATTTTCACTCATGGAACAAATATTTTTTTAGGAATTTTCTATAGATTGTGAAAATGCTGGGGAAGTTTATTTTTCACCAGTTGAACTTGTTATTGCAATTGTTGCAGCCTTTTCAGAAGTGAGTTGTGATATCAGCCTGCATTACTTTTATTTTGCACCATTAATATTCTGAAGAGAATATTCAGACAAGTGAGCAAACCCTTCAGAGTCCCTTTAAGCATTCATTTTATACCATTATTAATTATGCTTTAAAATATTTTTTTCCCTCTTTTGAATTTGCACATAAAAAATTTATTTCCCTCTTTTGAATTTGCACATAAAAAAATTTATTATAAAATTTATAAACATTAAATGCTTAAAATTTCATTTATTTTAAAGTTTAAAATCAATTATCTTATTTTTTATTAACATATAAAAAGGAAATTTGCTGCAGTTATGCAATTCTGCATTTAGATAATTTTTAGAGTGAACTGCAATATATTAATGAAGACAGAAGTTTTGGTGCTTATCGAAAAAATAATAAAGAGATAAGAAAATAAGAGATATAGCTAAATAAGATAAGATATCCAAACTATTTATTATTCATGTTTCTTCTTCTTCTTCTACAAGTTGTGAGTTACGGTTGAAGAAACTTGAAACAAGCTCAAATCAAGCATCTAAAATTCGATCATAATAATGCTTTATTTCTCATGCTATTTTCATTCTCTCTTTCCTCTAATATTTTCAAAATCTTGCCTAGCAACCTGACCTTGATATTGGTATGTGTTTTTCAAATTTCAATTTCAATTTGTGCAGTGTATGTTAAAAAATAATGAGCTCTTTTGCTGCTAATTGCTTGTCAATACTTTTTGGTAAAACTAACGGCTAACATTTATTTCAAAGAGATTGTTTGGTCTTTACAGTAATAAAGGCTTAACAAAAAAGTTGCATAGTTTCTTTAGATATACCTATTTTTACATCTAAAGAATTGTCTCTATAATTAAAGAAAGTTTATGATTTAAAAAAACCTTTATTTATATTTTTTTATACATTTTTTTCATGAACTTAATTATTTTTAATGATATTTACCAAAAGTTATATTTCATTTTAATGTAATTTCTTTTTCTCAGTATTTCTTTAACTTACAAATTAATTTAGGTGAAATATTTTTAGCATTAGAATTCTCAAGTAGCCTATCCTTCTCCTAAGCAGATAATTTTCTTGGTCCAGAGGATGTTTGCTTTACTTAGGTTGCACTGCTTTACTTAGCTTGCTAAGCTTTACTTAGTTACTAATACAAATACTGAACTTCGACTTATATAAATATTAAATTTTTTTGATGTACTTTTCAAAGTGTATCTTTATATTAGAGCTATTTTTTTTAAACATATTGTGTAGCGTTTTTAGAAAATGCTTAAAGGTGCTTATTTTTTCGACATTCGAGTATTAAAAACCCTTAAAGGTGCTTTTTTCATTGGGTGTTTTTAAAAAGTGCTTAATTTTCCCTTTTCAAACAGGATATTTTTTTCTTCACCATGTCAATTTTCACCACGTATTATGTGAAAGTGTGCTTTTCACCTTGTTCTATTTAACATTTTCACAATTCATTCAACCATAATCTATTTCTGCGAACGTCGGTCCATAGCCAGGGTTCGTGCGGTCCTAAAATGTCCTAAAAAAGTGCTAAAATTTTTTCCCAACTTTTTTAGGGCCTAAAAAGTGATAAATTTTCTTCTGAGTGCTAAAAAAGTGCTAAATATTTTTTTATTTCGGCGTTTCGAAAATTTTTTTGAGCGATTGGTTTCGCGCCATTTTCGGATTGTTGCTAATCCCGTAGAGGATGCGACGTTGCATTGAGTTCTTGTAGAAGGGGTTGAGAAACCGGGTAAAAACTGCATGGGGTAAGGGAGATAAAAAGAAGAATGGAATGGAATGCAATTCTTTATCGTCCACGGCAAGGTCGAAGGTCATCCATGTAGGTGATTGTCATTCCGTGTAGTTTAATTCNTTGTGCTTAAAAACAGCAAAAAATAAAGAAATAAATTCTACCCAATGCCTTTGCCTTAAGTCTAAAGAATAAAAATGATTGTAAAATAATCGTTTTTGCACCAAAAAATTTTAAAGGTTATTTTTTTTTACATTGTGCTAGTTCTAATTGTTCAGTTTCATACTGCTCTCTAGTATAACTCATAACTTCACCTTAAAATTGTGTAACACTTTATTTGTAAATTTTTAACATAATGTACAGATTAATTATGTAATTTTTACTTCATGAAACACTTTATTTGTATATTTTTAATATCATGCATAGATTAATTATGTTATTTTTATTTTACATCAAGTGCTAATTTTTTTTTTTAGTCATAAAAAAGTGCTAAAAAAGTCCTAAATTTTTTTTGAAACAATTGAGCAAGAACCCTGATAGCATATGAAAGCTGCAATCATTTTACATGGTTGATCAAATATTTGCGAGTCCGCATGTGCGTCTAATGAGGTGGGTTGGGTGAGATTATTTCACTCTCATGTGCAACTCTGCTACATTTTGCAAGATATTCTCAATTTCAGGCTTCATTTTCTGCCCTCTGATATCGAACCTAAAAATCTCTTAATCATTTTATAATGGCTAATATAATCAAGAAAAAGAGTTCTTTGTCAGAAACTAGCTATTTTATCATGCTCATGTAAAGTCTTTGAATATTATTTTGCATTTTGTTAATGTATATAGTGCTTATTTTTTTGTTGAAAGATTTGGCTATGCACGCACCCTGTTTTAATTGGAACTAAATGGTCTTTTTTCTCAAAATTTTATTTAATATTTAAATAAATATCATTTTAGGTTCTTTTATTTATGTTTATTTTTACCATTGTATTATTGTTATTAATTAGTTTTATTTTGTGTGCATTTGCAGTATAAAGTGTTGTTTTATACTATCGATGGGAGACTCATTAACAGTTTTACAAAAGCAGATGCCTCACTTGGCATCACTTCCTTTTCTTGGAGTGCCCAAAGCTTTTACATTTTTGTAGGAGATTACTTAGAAAGAGTAAGTTAATTTTGACTGACTGATAGCTTATAAATTTTTACTTAATTTAACTAGAACTTAGATCATTTTGAATCCATTAGGACTTGATCTGTATCAAATAATTTAATAACCAGGGAGTTAAATAGCTGTCAAATGCTTATTTCCTTAATGATACTAAGATACTAACTGATTAAACTTGAAAGTGAATAGTTTTTATAATCATTCAATTCAATAAACATAACAGCAACATTAAGTTTATGTAATTCTTTTTTCTTCTCCTGAATTTCCTGATAGCTCTGTAAGACTTAAGTCTTTTTAGTTTCAAAAATAAAGAGCAGAGTGAATGATTGAGCCAACTAATGTTCGTGCGATTTTGAGCAAATGAGCTTTAAATTTATGTGTTGCCCTTTCTTGTGTAAGAGTAAATAAAGATTTTGCGATACTTTTACTTCTTACGCGCTAGCTTCTAATTGGAAAATTCTTTAAAGCCGTAATATTCATTTTTGTTCTCAGCCTTTGCTCTATTGGCAGTTTAATATGCTACTGAAATGGAGGTTTCCTAAGCTTGCTGTTCTGTTTGCTTCATGGCAGAATCGCAGTGATACGGCAACATTGTTACTGAGTTCTTGCAGAAAGATATTTCTTTTGAAAAGTGAAGGATTTTTTTTTGCAGAAATTTACACCTAAAATTTGAATCATGCAGTTAGATAATAGCTTTTTGGCGCACTCCAATTACGTTGATAACATCGTAAATCGATATAATGTTGCAATTGTATTTTCGGCAGTTATTGATATTGATTTTTACATGGTTTTTAAATATCCCGATATACTATTTTAAACAATATGGTAAATTTGAATCGTGCATTTGAGTATTTACTTTTTTAAACAATGATTCTTTTACTTTTTTGGCTGTTATTGCTAATGATTTCTCCATAGTTTTTAAATCCGATAATTAGTACACGGTATTGTTTAGTACATCAACCTAATCTCAAAATGAAACATGCATTTGAGTAACCCCTTTTTGGGAAGTCTAATTCACTTTGATTTTGTCTTTCTTTCAGCAATTACTACTACGGATTTCATAATTTTTAATTATTATGCGAAGAAGGAAATAATTAGTGCGCTCCCCTCTAACAAAATGCGAGAATATCACCCATAATATTTGAATAAAAAAGTATTAAATGTTTAATTAAAAAAAGTTATATATAGTTTTTTTTGTAAACACAGTACTTTTGTTATTTTAAATTAGTAACATATATGTTTGTTATTTCTGAAAGTTTTTTTGTAGAAAAATATTACTGCTAGAGAGTTTAGTTGCAGATAGCTCGAAAAAATTTTGCCACAAGGTCTGTTTGCTGCTCAAAGTGATCGAAATATTTAAATAATTAGACCTTATTAAAGTTGAAAAATAAATAAAGTTGTATTAAAATTTGAGAAGAATTGTTTAAGTAATTAATAATGTCACAAATTAAGCTCTTTGATATTATTCACAAACATTGTCTTATGTGACTAAATTTATGATTTCTGTTTCTTTTAAAAAGTTTTGAAAAGTGAATTTAAATTAAAAATAGTTAAGATCTATCTTATCCCTGTATTATATAACATTTTGCAAAGTTATGTTTGAAGACTTTAAATGCATATATATTTCATTCAGTTATACCAGTTGCTTTTTGTTGACCTGTTGTATAAGCCAACCCTCTATTTTTAAATGCGTGATAGTAAATTTATAGCATGTCAGGTGCTTAAGTTGACCACTAAAAAAAAACAAAAAAAAACACACAAATATAAAAATTTTTGAAATTAAAAAAACTTTAAAAAAAATTATTGAGATTTCAAATTGTACCAAGATAAAAATATTTCACATCAAAAATGCTTACAAAGAAAGGTAACTCCCACACTGCTCTTATAGACACCGCGTGTTAAATGATACTAGTCACATTACAAAATGTAGATTCAAATGTTATGGCAAATATTTATTTAAAAAAGTAGAATTTCAAATTCTTTGGATGGGGGTCAAGTCGTTTTTTTGTGGGACACAGCAGAGGAGGAGGATGTAGCATGCATTGCAGATTGAAATCTGTATGACAACACTGCTATATCGTTATTGAATCTCACGCATTTGACGTTCTGTGACTTGTAGCTTTATGATATACTTTAAAATTTTTCATTGTGTTATATTTTTTGAAATACTCTCAAATGAATTATCTTAACTTAGCTTTTTTTTAATTTTCTTCTGAGCACAATTTAAAGTATTGTTTCTGAAAAAACTTTAATATCTAAAGGCAGTTTGATGAGAGGAATTGCAAAATTAATTGTATATAAGATATTGGAAATAGTTTTTGAAAGAGGAAAATTATTATAAGGTTATTCATATCTACCTCATTGTTCATAATACATCAATATTTCACAGTCAACGAATGTTTGACTTGATTACCGGTGTGTCAGTCGATTTCCTGATTTTTGTAAAATTTTAAGAGTCTGACTTGCAATTTGATATGCACAGTAATAATTTTTGTTAAAATAACTCTTGTTGTTATTTATACCTACTCATAATTTTATTTGTTTTCAAAATTTGGTAACAGGATGTAATACAACATGTTATGTTTGTAATACCCAGATTTTAATTTTTATAAATTTTTTAAACTTGGGAAGGTTATTATAAATTTAAAATGAGAAATTTTTTTGTTTTTGATTTTCAAAATTTTTTTTTAAAGTGTTAGATTTTTTTTATTGATTTATGTACATTTTAATTCTGCAAACATTACATTCATGAATGCTGAAATTGCTCTGTAGAGCTTTTTGTTTTTAAGCATCAAATCTGTTTTTGTTTTCATTCATTCATATTCTTTTAGAACAAAAATTTGGCTATATTAGTTATTTAATGTCTCTCTTTCATAGATTTCTATTTTAAGTGGAAAAAATTATAATGAAATTAGCACTCTAAATCTTCCAGAATCAATTCAGTCTTCTAAAACAGTAAGTTATCAAGCTTTATTTTTATTTTTGTACTAAATGTAAAGGACATACCTGCCAAATGTCCTGTTTTTTAATGAAGACTCCTGTATTTTACGACTATTTCCTATTTACACATATATTTTCAAATTTCTCTGTATTCGTTGAAGAGATTTAAAAGAAATTATTTTGGCACTAAAATAACTGTAGATGGCAAAAATGCTTCTCTTATTCCTCAATAGAGGTTGCTACTGCCAGTACTGATGTCGAGTGTTAATAGTTTAAGTAGTTATAAATAATGTTTTAAAAAAATCTTCTTTAGATTAAGATTTATATACATATTTTTTACTTAGCTAAATGTAAGGGCTTATATTATTTCCAAATTTGAATTCTCTTTTTGGCTTACATGATTACACATATTGCTTCAAATTTTTACTCTTAGCCTAAAAAGTGCCGCTAGTAAAATCTCTGTTATTTTTTTTCTCCAATGTTGGCAGGTATGGAATCAACAAGTACATGTGTAGATTCCTAAATATCCTACATTAAGTCCATAACAACACACTTGGTTATTCAACACATAGATGGCTACGCGTTTTTGAAATTCTTAAAAAGTTAATCTTCTAATTAATAAATATCTGGTAATTACAGTTGTAGTGTTGAAAAAAATATTCAGTAGTAAGGGAATGTAATTTATTTATTATGATTGTTGCAATCTAATGTTAAAGTCTAAGTGAACTTTATGTTGTTTTTAATTGTTCAGTTTGAAATAGTTTTCACATTCTACACAATTTACAGTTGGCTGATGTAGAATTGTTTTTTAACTAAGAAAGTCTTAATACAGTAGAGGATTTTTATAACACAATGGTATAAACCGGAATTCTTCATAAATCACATTAGCTTTGTTGTTGTAAACAATCAAATTTGCAGATAAGAAATTCCTATAACTTTTTACATTATTTGTTTGTATGAATAGGTAAAAATTTGCTAAGAAATTAAAATTTCAAAAGCTAAGCAAACTAAAATTGATCAATTTATTTGTCGCTAGTTCTAATACTCCTGAAAACCTCAGTTTTTTTTCTATAAGAATAAATATTTAAGTCCAAATTTTCAAATTTGGTTTTATATAAAATAAAACATATTAACATAAATTTTAAGTTACAAATTATTTTATGTATAGTAGTTTGTAACCTCTGCTAATTTTGAAAACTAATTATAAGTGTCTTACAAAAAATGGGGCAACAGTCTTAAAGTTAGGTTTTTACAGTTTATTTTAAGAAATATTTTTATGTCGCATTTAGAATTAATTATTTTTCCACTTTATTGATAGACTGTTTATCGAATCATGGAAATGTCTTGTAATGAAGAAAGCGTGCTTAGAGATACTGCAGAGAAGTGGGAATTTTGTAGGTTTTATATAGTTTAAAAATTTTTATTTTGTCATTCCTTTGTTAAGCTATCAACTGTTGCATGTACTTACTTACATATATATAGTTTCTCAGTTTATTATTTGTCTTTTTCATTTTCAGAAATTCATGTAACTTTCCTTATGTTTATAAATTTTATTTTTAATAGAATTAATGGTTATCTGAAATATTTCCTTTTAACCCTTTAGATTGCCATTTATTTCTAGTAAAGGTAAATTAAAGAATTTTTGGAATTGACATTCATATCAGAATAGTAATTGATATAAGATAAGAAAAACTCATTTTGCTCATAAAATATTAATTAAAATTGTATGCCTTTTTTTGTGGTAAGTATATTTAACACCACCTATTATGAACTTATTGTCTTTTATTTTTCTTTATTTATGAAATAAATTTTATAAATGCTGCAAACTTCAGAAGGAATTATGCATTTTATAACTTTTATACGTTTTCTTATGCTAAAAAATGGTTGCCAATACACAGCTAGAAAGCTGAAGTTATTAACAAATGGAAACCTAAATTAAAAGTGGTGGAAAAGTTAACATGGACTTTACAAATTGGTGATAAGTATACTTACCCTGGCTTTAGAAAAGGATAACTGGATATTTGTTTTTCTCTGTAAGTTTCAGATTAAATTGAATTTCCAATTTTTAGATCTGTACCTTCATGAAACAAAAAATTTGGCTTAGCTACATCAAGTATTAGTGATAATTAGAATAACTCATATCATAAAAATGGGGTAAAAGTCTCAATTATATTTTAAGTTTGCAATATAAGAAATTACAAAATTTTGTATTCGAAATTAATTAATAGATATCAAGTTTGAAAAAAAAAAAAAAAACCATATGAGGAGGCTCTGCCTTCTGCTCTTCACAAAATCCCAAAGTCTCATTGTGACTTGATCTCTACTAACTTTGCTCACTAACTAGATATCAGAACTAATAACTTATGAAAAATGGCAACTTCCATAATACTTAGCTTTTTTATTGTGACTATGTTTCATTTAATGAAAAATTTTGGTTAAGTTTTTAAGCAATGAAAGCACTTTCAAATAAAATAAATTAGTACATTTCTAGTTTATTTTGAAAATGGAATGCTGTTTAAGTTTGTTGTGTATTATAGCCAATTCTGGATTTGTACCAATGAACTCCCGTTTCAAAATTTACTCCTATACTTATGACATTCTATGTAGCTTCTTGTGTTTATTGAGTACATTACACATAAGGAAAGTTAGAGTCAGCATATATTAATTTGAACTCAATTTAGATTCTATCTATTTTCTAGAAATATGCCATTGTTTTTAATTGAGTACAGATCACAAATCTCATATATTTTAATTGTATTTTAGTTTTTTTTTCTTTTGTTTTAGAAATCTTAAAATTGTATGAATTATTTAAACAAAATGTTTAAGATTTGAACATGAAATGTTTTATAAATTTAACAGAAAGGTTTTCTTTTTTTTAAAAAAAGCAGGCATTCTTTCAGGTTTATCTTTTTTCTTTTATTTTCTTTCTTCCTTTATTTATTTTTATTTTTTTAGAAATCCAGCATTGTAAACAAATTTTGCATAGTTTTTTATTCTTCGTTTTAAATAAAAAAAATAAGAAAATAAACTAATGTTCTCATATCATGCAGGACTTCTTAAAGTTATTTTCTCCTTTATTTCATACCATGTAATATTTATATACAAAATTTAAAAAAAAAGTGTGATCCAGACTTTACTAAGTTAATGAATAATTTAATATAATAAAAAATAAATAGGAAATTGGTATTAATTTAAAAAAAAATCTTAAAAAAATTATAACATTTCTTGCGTGTACTAAAAGGGGGGAAAGAAATTTATCAATCATTAAAGCATCAAGCTCATATTTTTTACTTTCTTCCTTATTTCAACCTTTACTATATTAGGTTTTTTGAATTATGTAAGAGCTCACATAATGCAAATTCACATAAGATATGTGAGCTTGCTGCTATACAACTAAGAGCAAATATTTCCGTTTTATATAACTTTAATAAAAAAAGATGTAAAATTATAAATCCCAACTTTATTATCCCCACCTCATAATCGCTATTTAAAAGTATGAATATTAATTAAAATTTACTTTGATTGTGCTTGCTGTCCAACCAGCATTCTAGAATGTTTTTTTTTAAAGTTCAAAACGTTTCAGGGATCCCTGTTCTATGCGAACAATAGTACATCAGTTAAAAATAACTGCTTCATTTGTTTAAGCAATTTTTATACACAAAAAGGGAACAATATAGATCTAGTTCTTCTTTTTTGTCACTACAGCCTAAAACAGGCTGTATGATCATCGCAGTCAGCTTCCTACTTCGTTGTCGATTCCAAGCCACTGTTCTCCAAACAGATTTAGATCAGTGTGTTTAAAATCTGTTGTAAGTTTGACAATTTTTATTATGAATGAAAAAAACACACATTAATATGCTATTAATTTGAAATCAATTTTATTTCCAAACAACTTTAATTGTATTTTGTTTTCATAGATATTTTAAGCAAAGTATTGGAATAAAATTTCAGTTTAAATCTTGTTTCAGATGCAGTCGATGGTGAAAGACCAGTATCCATACCCCAGTTTCATCTAAGCAAGAAAGGGAATCATAAGGCTTCTAAAACTGGAATTAATTTACTTGTTGTCAGTCCAGATGAGCAACATGTAGCCATTGTAAGTTGTAAGTAAATATATCTATTACTTTTTAATCAAATGATTTGTGTGTTAGTAGCTTGTTGTTTTGATTTCACATGTACTTTATTAACTTTAAGTTTGTTCTTAAATCTTTATAAGTTATTTTTAAGTAATATTGTGCTTTTTTAACTTATAAATTTAATATTTATATCAAGCCTTAAGTAACTTCACTTAACTGGGACTGCTTTATCAAGTCTTAATTATATATACATATTCAGGCTATATATATATAACATATTCATATTCTACATATAGTCAAAGGAGATTCACACATAATATTTATTCATTTTAATATTAATTAAGTTCCACTATCTCTGGGGAAATGCACGAAAAATTAGTGTTCTGCTTTTTATAATAATGGTTTTTAGGAAATACAAGAGTCAAGATTCTTCATTATGTCATAACAACACTGTTCTAAAGGAATAAATTATATTTTTAAATAATTTTTTTCATTGAGGTCACATTACCTTCTTAAGGGAAAAACGTTTTATGATAATCAATATATATATATATATATATATACACAGTAGGGAACCGATTATCCGGAACGATCGGGACCATCGCTATTCCGGATAACTGATTTTTCCGGTTTTCTGAATTGCTACAAAAAGCCGTTTTTTTTTATTGTTAAACCCAACTAAAAAAAAAAATTTTGGAAATAATCTTAAAAAGAAGAAAAAACGATGAAGTAATACACTAATGATTATTTCTAAAATGATGGTAAGGTAAACATCTTTCAAAAAAGAAAGAAAAATCCAAAAATCTTATGAGGAAAAAATTTTTTTTTTTTTAAAAAAAATGACGGGAAAATTTATTGAATTTCGATCCGGTTTTTTGGTTTTCTGATTTCCGGATAACGGGTTCTGTGCTGTATATATATATATATATATACTTACTCACACACACTTAAAGTTTACAAACAAAATTAAATTTATATTTTATGCTTTGAATGATTTGGCCATTACACCTACACTTCTTAATTCAGCTTAAAATATTCATAATGTTAATATTATCTATTGAATCTATTTTTAAGAATGTCTAAAATCCTAATGATTCTCTCACTTTTAGGTTCAGCTCCCAATGTCATTTTCATCTTCAATATGAAATTATTTTCACTCTCTGATATACTTATTCAAAATGAAAAAATAAAAGGTAATTTCTAAAATTTTTTTACATGTTTGTATACTGAGTGAGTCTTTTAGTGGTTCCTTTTTGATAATGCAATCAAATAAACACATTAAAAATTTTCCAAATGTTATTCTTTCATCAGAAAAAACAAACCTTCCAAATACGAAGCTTTAATTTCAATAAAAAATACTTTTTAGTGCTGTATCAAATTTTGTTTTTTACTGAAAATTGTTTATTAATAGGAAAATTCATATATATATAAAGCATCTGATTAGTATGATTTAGGCAAATAGATCAAACCAGATCTAATAAAACTGTTACTTAGCTTTTGAAAAGTGGTGAATCAAATATTATTTGTTAATATTTTAACCTGTTCTGGTCTACTTTTTTTACAGAGTTATTTGAAATATAATTATTAAATAAATATTATTAAATAATTATTATTAAATAAAAAAATGTTTTGTGGTAACTATGAACTGGTTACAAAATTCTCCTTTTGTTGTATATTAAGATTGTAAGTAAGTAAATCAGTTTATACTCCATTATTGTTTTAGGTGTGACTTGGCATCCAAGAAAACCGATTTTGGCTTTCTTTTCTGGTTGTAGCCATTTGGATTTGTGGACTCCAACGTGCTGCCTTCGAATGATCTCACCTTTTGTTGGTTGGTAGATTTTATTTATACAAAGATTATTTGTTTCCAAAGAATATTAAAATTTTGACACAAAATAATTTTATCCATTTTTATAAATAACATTAAATGGAATTGATGAGTGAAATAATATAGACAAATTAGATCAGTAAATAAAAAATAAAAAAAATCTATATTTTTTATCTTCTACTATTATTACAGTCTTGTCTGTCTTCATTTTTTCAGTTATAGATTGAAAAATAAAATAAATCATTTAAAATTATGTTGTTTTAATTATAATAAAATGCAAAATTTGAACAGAATTGGTAAACAATTCTTAAGGAAATTTTTTTTTTAAAATGTGACTTTTTAAAATTTTTTTGGACTTTTTGATTAATATGTTAGAATTTTGCTTCTATTCTTGTCTTTTAACATGTATAAAATTTAAACAGGCTTGACAAAATAGCTTTTAAGTAAATGAAAATTGAAAAATTTGGTATTTGTTGAAATTTTATTAGTCAAAAATTATTTTATTGATTTTGTTTGAAATTTGTGTTTTGTCTTTTAAACTACCATAGTTTAAAATGATGTAAAAATTTGTGTACCTTACGATTAAAAATTTTTTTGGCAATTAATTAAAATCTGAGAATTAAGTTATAATTAATAATAATAATAAATTACATAATAATTAAAAAATTTGAAAGAAATTAATCAAGTAAATAATAATATATATAAAATTTAAAAAAAAGTAATTTAAAATTTCATTTCTCAAAAATTTTTCAACCCACTTCATTCAAATTTTGGTTTTTGACATTTAAATTTGGGCAAATGTGTGATGTGACAAGATATGTAAATTGATAATTACAAAATTAAACAATGGAAAATGCTAGATAATAATATTTTACTTGAAATCCTTTACGGTAAATGAGTTTTAAACAAAATGTGCAAAAAATAAATATAAGATTGTGCAATCCAAACTTTGCTTCCAATCTAGAAATTAATTCGACAATATTTTCTAGATTGCATCTACCAGATTAAATTTTGAGAGTTTGGAATTCAAATCCATTAGAAAAAAAGGTTTGCTTTTTATAAAAATGAAATTTTTTAGGCTGATTTTCAAATCTAATCAATATTTAAAATTATTTAGTTAGCACCTTTCAGGTCAAACCTTCCAAACATAAAGTTTGACATTTAGTACTAAAATATTCCATTATTAGAAGTAAAGATATGGAAATATAATTGACTAACTTGTAGCAGAAAGTAAAAAATAATTATTTTATTGTTTAATTAATGTAAAATTTAGCTTTTTGTATAAACAAATTTTGGTTTTCAATAATCTTAATTAGTAGAAATTTTTTTTGCTTTATGAATCATGTGTTTTTTAAAAACTATCTTACATAGTAACTTTTTTATATTTGCTAATTGTTATGTTTTTATTAAATTAATTTACAATAAATAATAGTATTTTGAATTTTATTTTTCTGTCATTTATAATATTGGTGCATTTTTTTATTTATCAGCTTAAAACAATAAAGTGTGTATTTCCTTTTATCTACATAACTATTTAAAGAATGCATGCAAAAGCTTCATTATGAAACAAATCCCTCATTGAACTGAATTCATGTTAATTGTATTTCCAAAATAAAAATACCCTTTTTAAGTTTTTATGATGTTTTAAAACTCAGGGGGGGGGGAAATTAGTTCATTTCCTTATGTACTATTGTATTTAAACTCTAACTAACCTTTAAACTCTATATCCAAGTGATCAATTAAAGATGTATTGGTCTTTAGCTCCTGTAGGGCAGTTGGTTAAGGTGTCACTAACACTGCTGGTAGAAAAGGGGGGGGGGTTGTGAGTTCAATCCTCGAAATAGACTTAATCAGCGTATATGTGCATCAAAGTGCACATTAAATCTGTTGACTTGGCATAACTACCAATCCTGCTGGAGTTTTCAGTAGACTACTGGATTTTGCCAGTTTCTCCTGGTTTTTGTACATTTTAGAAGATTCCATAAAATAGAGTAAGTTGCATGAAAAAATCCCTATTGAAATAGATTTTTCATACATATTATTACTTGCTTGAATATTTAAATAAGTATTACTAATACATAATGAAGCAAACCTCATTTATAGAAATCAGTTCAAAACTTTTTTTGTTCTAAAATGTTCAGTTTATTTTTATTCAGAACTCTCTTTTTAAGTTAATTAAAAAATCTTTTTAACTATCTTTGATGAATTAAATGCCTATTAATATTCAAAATTATTAGTAGACATAATACATAACATTTCAAGTATGTTTAATGTCAATCATAATTGGAAAATATTGCAGTTTTTCTATTTTGATGACTATAAAAATTCCCTATGTGTGTGGTGATGTTCAGTTCATCACCACACACATTAAGATAAGAATAAAAATGAATAACAATTAAAAATAATATACTCTTAAGTAAGAGAACAAGATCATTAGAATGATCACTAATTGCAAGGTGTTAAAACTATTTATTTAAAGTTGATCATTTAAGATATTTAGAGTTACAAATTTTGTTCCAGGAAGGCATTCACACTAATTAATAATAGGTACATAAAATGAATTTACATGAAATTATACATTATGAAGCTGCACTGCTACAATATAAAATAAATAAAAAAATAATTAAGGGGTGATAGAAAATCTTATAATATAACTTAGCTGTTGAGGATCCTCATATTTTTTTTGNAAACCTTCCAAATACGAAACTTTAATTTCAATAAAAAATACTTTTTAGTGCTGTATCAAATTTTGTTTTTTACTGAAAATTGTTTATTAAAAGGAAAATTCATATATATATAAAGCATCTGATTAGTATGATTTAGGCAAATAGATCAAACCAGATCTAGTAAAACAGTTACTTAGCTTTAGAAAAGTGGTGAATCAAATATTATTTGTTAATATTTTAACCTGTTCTGGTATAGTTTTTTTACAGAGTTATTTGAAATATAATTGTTAAATAATTATTATTAAATAAAAAAATGTTTTGTGTTAACTATGAACTGGATTGTTCAAAAAGTTGGCAGCGTTACAAAATTCTCCTATTGTTGAATATTAAGATTCTAAGTAAGTAAATAAGTTTATACTTCATTATTGTTTTAGGTGTGACTTGGCATCCAAGAAAACCGATTTTGGCTTTCTTTTCTGGATGTAGCCATTTGGATTTGTGGACTCCAACTTGCTGCGTTCGAATGATCTCCCCTTTCGTTGGTTGGTAGATTTTATTTATACAAAGATTATTTCTTTCCAAAGAATATTAAAATTTTGATGCAAAATATTTTATTCATTTTTATAAACAACATTAACTGGAATTGATGAGTGAAATAATATAGACAAATTAGATCAGTAAATATAAAATTAAAAAAAATCTATATTTTTTATCTTCTACTATTATTGCAGTCTTGTCTGTCTTCATTTTTTCAGTTATAGATTGAAAAATAAAATAAATAATTTAAAATTATGTTGTTTTAATTATAATAAAGTGCAAAATTCGAACAGAGTTGGTAAACAATTCTTAAGGAAAAAAAATTGAAAAATGTGACTTTTTAAAAATTTTTTGGACTTAACTATTTGATTAATATGTTAGAATTTTGCTTCTGTTCTTGTCTTATAACATGTATAAAATTTAAACGGGCTTGACAAAATAGCTTTTAAGTAAATGAAAATTGAAAAATTTGATATTTGTTGAAATTTTATTAGTCAATTGTTGAAATTTTATTTTATTGATTTTGTTTGAAATTTGTGTTTTGTCTTTTAAACTAACATAGTTTAAAATTATGTAAAAATTTGTGTACCTTACGATTAAATTTTTTTTTGGCTATTAATTAAAATCTGAGAATTAAGTTATAATTTATAATAATAATAATAAATTGCATAATAATAATAAATTACATAATAATTAAAATTTGAAAGAAATTAATCAAAAAAAAATATATATATATATAAAATTTAAAAAAAAGTCATTGAAAATTTCATTTCTCAAAAATTTTTCAACCCACTTCATTCAAATTTTGGTTTCTGACATTTAAATTTGGGCAAATGTGTGATGTGACAAAATATGTAAATTGATAATTACAAAATTAAACAATGGAAAATGCTAGATAATAATATTTTACTTGAAATCCTTTACGGCAAATGAGTTTTAAACAAAATATGCAAAAAATAAATATAGGATTGTGCGATCCAAACTTTGCTTGCAATCTAGACGAAACTAATAAGACAATATTTTCTAGATTGCATCTACCAGATTGTATTTTGAGAGTTTGGAATTCAAATCCATTAGAAAAAAAGTCTTGCTTTTTATAAAAATGAAACTTCAAATCTAATCAATAGTTAAAATTATTTAGTTAGATAGTTATTAAGTTAGATACTTAGTTGTTTAGCTATTAAAATTATTTCAGGTCAAATCTTCCAAACATAAAGTTTGACATTTAGTTCTAAAATATTCTATTATTGAAGTAAAGTTATTGAAATATTGCTATTTTATATAATTGACTGACTTGTAGCAGAAAGTAAAAAATAATTATTTCATTGTTTAATTAATGTAAAATTAAGTTTTGTATAAACAAATTTTGGTTTTCAATATTCTTAATTAGTAGAAAATTTTTTCGCTTTATGAATCATGTGTTTTTTAAAAACTATCTTACATTGTAATTGTTTATGTTTTTATTAAATTAATTTACAATAAATAGTAGTATTTTGAATTTTATTTTTCTGTTATTTATAATTTTGGTGCATTTTTTTATTTATCAGCTTAAAACAATAAAATGTGTATAACCTTGTAACTACATAACTATTTGAAGAATGCATGCAAAAGTTTCATTATGAAACAAATCCCTCATTGAGCTGAATTCATGTTAAATGTATTTCCAAACTAAAAATACCCTTTTTAAATTTTCATGATGTTTTAAAACTCAGGGGGAAAAAATGAGTTAATTTCCTTATGTACTATTGTATTTAAACTCTAACTAACCTTTAAACTCTATATCCAAGTAATCAATTAGAGATGTATCTGTCTTTAGCTCCTGTAAGGCAGTTGGTTAAAGTATCACTAACACTGCTGGTGGAAAATGGGGGGTTGTGAGTTCGATCTTTGAAGTAGACTTAATCAACGTATATGTTCATGAAAGTGCACATAAAACCTGTTGACTTTGCATAACTGCAAACCCAACTGGATTTTGCCAGTTTCTCCTGGTCTAATTAAAATTCTCCTGGTTTTTGTACATTTTAGAAAATTCCCTAAAATTGAGTAAGTTTCCTGAAAAAATCCCTATTGAAATAGAATTTTTGTACAAATTTTTGCTTGCTTAAATATTTAAATAAGTATTACTAATATATAATGAAGCAAACCTCATTTATAGAAATCAGTTCATAACTGTTTTTATTCTAAAATGTTCAGTTTATTTTTTATTCAGAACTCTCTTATTAAGTTAATTAAAATATCTTTTAACTATCTTTGATGAATTAAATGCATACTAATATTTAAAATTATGATTAAACATAATACATAACATTTCAAGTATGTTTAATGTCAATCATAATTGGAAAATATTGCAGTTTTTGTATTTTGATGACTATAAAATTCCGTAAAATTCCCTATGTGTAAAATATTTAGTACATTATGCAATGATTATATCGTTACATTTATATTATTTCGTAAAATCTACTGGAATTTTTCCTATACATGTTGGCAGCTATGACTTAGTTGTTGAAGTGAATAAAGTTTGGAAAGAGGGCTTCCAGTTTAGGCATTGTCTGACCAGAGTCAAAATTACACAGTATTCCTGCAACGGTTGTTTAAAGATAGTGGTGGTGTTTTGGCTGGGTAGTGTGTGTATTTGTCTTTAACATAGCAATTTTTATTTTTCCAGATGAATTGCTGATCAAAAATATTAAATGGTCTACTACTGGTGAATCAATTATTTTGAATGGAAAACAATGCTCTACACTTTTAACATTGCCTTTATTTTCTTGACGCAACAATGAATTTTGTAAAACTTTGTTGTATTTATAAAAGAAAAACATGTATGAAGTAAGTGCCAGAAATACTTGTAAATATGTATATTGAATTAAAATATTTATTTAGCTTTTCATTTTTGTTTTCAGCTTCTGTTTCTTTCTTACTTAATCATGACACAACTTTGCAGAGTATTATTACATAGCCACATATTATGTTGAGTATTATCACATATGCCACCCTTAAAAGGTGGCTTTACAGTTTTGCGCAAGCAGCCATATGTCATGAGAGACACTAAAATATCTCTGACTTATCTGAATATCAGTGATTTAAATGCAATAATTCTACTGTATAAGTGCAATAGCTTTAGACATCAATCATAACACTGAATATTGATTTCAATCGTAAACTATGAAGAAGGAAAGTAAGGGGGAACAGTAGATATATAGCCAACATAAGCCTCATTATTTTGAAATTAGCGCCAGAATTTTCTTTAGTACGAAGGAAGATAATCAACAGACGTCTACATATGTTTGCTTTATGAACATATGGGGACAAATTTTTCAGAGAGAAGCAAACTAAAATGGTGTTTTTCACTTTTTTATATTGATACTCATAAAATGTACATAAAACTGTATTCCATTTTGCTCTTTTTTTGATATTAGCAATTGACAGTGATTTTAAAATTGAATGTGACAGGAAGCTTCCTATAATATACCATACCATACTTGTTGCATTCAGCTTTTTCTGTATTAATATTAGCTGACATGAAAAATTAATGAAATGAACCCTACTTAAAAATTTTTGATTTAATTATTTTTTTTAAAAAAAGTCAAAAATTTTTAACATTTTGGTACTTAACTTTGTTAAATTTTAAAATTGCACGAGTTTACAAGAAAAAATTCCTTAGAATTGTAATTCCTAAAATGTTTGTTGAATGCTAGTTATTTTATGCATGAAAATTAAACAAAATCAGTTAATAACTCGCAAATGAAATTCACACACACACACAAAAAAAAAAACTTATCTATGCTTAAACTTCAACTTATTTCCTGACTAAACTATTGGGACCATATTTTCCAGATTGCACCATTTCCCTTATTTTGTCCCTTTGTTTAGTCGTGAAACTAAATACATTGGGGAAAAAATGTTTATCTAGAGTTATACTTTACATTTGATTTTATAATTTAATGTTCAGCATAAATGAAATTGCATATTACAGACACTTTGAACCATTAAGTTTGGCATTTAGTTTGTGAAAGTCCAATTATTAGAAAATTATTTTTTAGGGGGGGGGGTCGCTATATCTTTTTTCCTTAAGATAAAGACAAATCCTAAATGTCTATTGGTCTATTTTTTAAAAGATTAAATTTCAAAGTGTGCATAGAATAAAAATATTTTTTCAAAGGATTGGTTAGAAGCCGTATTTAGAGTGATATATTTTGTATTTAAATAAAGTGAATTTTTATTGATTATTCAAATAAAATTATACAAACAGTGTTAAAAATCTGGAAATAAATATACTTTATTAGACTTTAATGGATACACAATGAAATACGGAAAGGCACTTAAATATTTTGTAGTAAAAATCTAAGTATTCCACATTTTGAAAATTAATGCATTGTTTCATAACAGGTTAATAAATGCATTTTTTTTCTTCAAAAAAATTATAACTTTGTAACAATATAGCAACTATCAAACTCAAACACAACAGAAAAGGATACTTATCCATTTTACTGGCATAAGTAAATTCAGCTATTTTATTTATTCAAATAGAAAAAAGGTTAAAAAATCAAAACAGCTGAATTTACTGTTTTTGCATTGGCAGCTATTGTCTGCAAAACTGAAAAAGGCCCAAAAATTTTATGTCTTTTTTCCAAAAATTATATTTATCCAGACATTTTTAAATATAATGTGACAAACAGACATGATTATTCCTAAAGCTATCAGTTCAAAACACTAAGATTAATGCAAAAAAATACGTATATATATATAATATTACAATATTGCAAAAGTGATTTTTTTAAAAAAAAAAAAAGACTACGCAGAGCAATCCAAAAGTTAAAACAATAAATGGCGGTTAGCAACAGGATTAAAAATACATAAGTAGACATGCAGTGTTATTACAAAACAACTTAACAAATTTATTACTATCTAACAGAATATACCTTACGAAAATAGAATAAAATTTCATAGCTCTAAATTTGATCAGATTAATAAACTTTTAAATCAGGTATAGATTATGTTGATAATAGCACATTTTAAGAATAAATTTACAAACAATAAATCTAACTCAATAGCATATTTACTTTGTTTCAACTTATTTAAATTTAAGACTTTCAATTCAAATATGTCCCTATGCCCAATAGCAGTAATAGTGTGAATAGATTTATTTTGGCCTCTCATAAATTCAATTTTGTTTGTTATTTAATTGATGATATTTAATTAAATTTCTTCAAGACTGTTTTATTTTAAAAAGCTAAAATCAAAATATTTTTCATTTTAATTTTGCTATTACAGATTTTTTTTAATTAATAACTCTCAAACCTTTTTTTACTATATTATTATTATCATCCATAATTGTAGTATCAGGCATTCTTGGCTTTAAAAATGTGAAAATTTTTTAAGTGCAACATCTGGATATAAATGTTTTACAACATGCTCTGCAGATAAATTTTAGAATTATTTTCAAAGTATTGCCGATAAATAGAAAGATACCTGCAACTGGGCTACTATTACATTTGCTTGATGTATAACATTTCAACCATCTATAAATTGTTATGTGTTAGTACAATTTCGAAGAAAATATTTTCAAAATATCTAAAATAACACAAAAAGAAACCAATTATATAAGTTCTGTAAAAAGGAGCCAGAGGAATGTGTTCTATGAATCTAAAATTATTGTGTTATGGTAAGAGTTTAAAATATTTAATTGATTTAAATGTATGATTCAAAGAGTAATAAAAAATAAAAGTTAACACATTTTTGTTACTAGGTATTATTTTTCAGTCATTTTTGTATTTCATTTTATAGGTCATTTATTTAAATAATGTGTAATAAAAGGGGGGAGGGAGTATGGAAAGATTAATTAAAATTGTTTGCGGAACAGAACCCAAATTTTGGTCCTTTGATGGTTCACATGTCTAGGTTTTTCTGAGAGGCAACTATTTTGAGAAAATTTAGACATATTTTGTGTAAGTTAAAAAATCAACAAAAAAGTATGGTTAAAAATGGATTTATCGTTTTTCAGGGTTGCCACTCAAATCTGGAAGAAAAAAAAATTCCCTGTGTTTTCCCTGTACATGTTATACACAATATATTAAGAGGGAACAACAATTACTGCGCACTTGTGGGAGCTATATTGGGATAACTATATTTATTAGTTTCAATTGCTAGAAAAATAGCTGAACATAAATAATGCATTAAATATATTTATGGTAAATGAAATAATTTAGTATAGCTGAAATATGGTTAAATTTCCCATAGATTTCGCTTTGAATGGTCACCATTTTTTAAAAGACCAAAATAAAAAAACAAAATTCACTGCATTTTCCCTGTTAGTTTAGGTGATTTTTATATTCCCTGTATTTTCCAGGTTTTCCCTGTTCTCCCTGTGGAGTGGCAACCCTGTTTTTAGGATATAAAAAAATAAAATTTTAAGAATAAGTATTCTGTGAAACTACCGTTTTTTCTAAAGCTGAATTTGTGAAAGTACAGCTAAACGGTAGTAAATTTGCCTTAGACAGACCTCTGTTCACTGGACTGTAATAAAAAATGTCATGGAAAAATTAAAAGCTAGATTATTTTCTTATACAGTAGAGAACCGATTATCCGGAACGAACGGGACCACCGCGATTCCGGATAACTATTTTTCCGGTTTTCTGAATCGCTACAAAATGCCGTTTTTTTAATGTTTATAAAACGAAACTAAAAAATTATTTTGAAATAGTTTTAGAAATAATAAAAAATGATAAATAATAATACACTTAAGTTTAAATAAGGAAAGAAATTATGAAATAAAAATTATATACAGGCTTATATATGTTATTAATAACATTAATAACATATATAAGCTATTTTTGCTTATGTGAGATTCGTCTACAAACGGCTTTTAATCCGTCCTCTAAATCAGTTCTTTCGTCAACTCGATACGCCGTACACTCTAAATAACAAAATGGGCTCAAAATCTTGCAAGAAAAAAAAATTTTTTTAATGGAAGAAAATTAATTTCCGGTTCCAAATTTCATTACGGTTATCTGGTTTCCGGATAAGAGGTTCTGCACTGTAATTGGAATTTTAAAGTGATTAGAAACACCTTCCACTGGCTTTTTATCACACAACTCATCCACTTTTTGATCACAGATTTGCTTCAATAGATTCTCCTCGATCATCTAAAGCAGAAACATTTACATGTTTTCGTTTTATGTGTCGCTTCAAGCCAGAATTTCGAGAAAAATATATGCCGCACAGATCACAAGAATAGCGTTTTTCACCCGTATGAGTAAAATAATGTTCTTTAAGCTGAGTAGACTGCGTGAAACGTCTGTTGCACATTTCACACTCAAACGGTCTCTCACCTGTATGAATTCTGACATGAGTGGTTAAATTACTTTTTCGCTTGAAGCCTTTATTGCAATATTTACAGTAAAATGACATTTCTTCTGAATGGACAAGCATATGTTCCTGCAAATCGGAACTTCTAGCAAAGCCTTTTTCACACACAGTACATTTGAAAGATCTTTCCCCAGAATGTGTCAGGAAATGACGTTGCAAGAGAGCTTTAGAATGAAACTTTTTCGAGCACACCTCACAAGCGTAAGGTTTGTCATTTGTATGGGTATAAGAATGCTCTTTGAGGCCACTTTTTTGTCCGAAACATTTATCACATATAGGGCATATATAGGGCTTCTCACCCGTGTGAACACGATAGTGATTTCTCAATGCGCTACTCTGTTTAAATCCTTTATTGCACATTTCACAGAAATAAAGCAAGTTGCCAGTATGCAATAACTTATGATTGCGCAAAGAAAATCGAAGTCTGAAGCTTTTAGGGCACAAATCGCATTTGAAAGGTCTAATTGCATTGTGAATGCCTTCATGCCTTTGAAGGTTTGATTGGTGTTTGAATGCTGCATTGCATATAGTGCAAATAAACGGTCTTTCTTCTGCATGTACACGAGAATGCCTATCGTAGTGATATTTTTCAGCGAAAGATTTATGACAAACTTCACACGAGAACCGTCGTTTTGATTCGTCTTTATCAATTTTTTCAAACACTTCCTTTCCTGGGTGCATTTTAGCGTGGAGTTTCAGGTAATGTTTTAAGCGGAAAGTTTTCTTGCAAACTTGGCAACAGAAGGGTTTTTCTTCGGTGTGAATCGTGGAGTGGCGTTTCAAATTATTTAGCTCCCTAAATTTTTTGTTGCAAATTCCACAAACATGATGCTCGTTTTCTATGTGTATTTTACAATGCCTTGTGAGAGTACTTTTTTTACTGAAACTTTTATTGCATGTGTCACATTTATATGACTTGGAGACTGAGGTTTCACTAGAAGTTTCATCTCTCAATTCATTTAGGTCATCTACATCCTCAGAATCAAGGCCAACTTCGTTTTTAATAATCAATTCGGATTTAGGAGACAAAGAAACATCCGAAACGCTAGTTCTGGAGAAAATATCTTGGCAAATTAAAGAAATGTTCTGGGATAAACCAAGATCACAGGGTGCTGCCGATATAGATTTTGCATCATCTAACAGTTCGGTTGAGTCAGTCTTAATTGTAATTCTGGAATTTATAGTAGTCATAATGATGTGTACTGAATAAGAAAATGATTATTTAGAAAATACGTATTCTAGGGGAAAAATTTATTTAAAAAATCCATTATACATATTGAAATAATATTATGAAAATAGAATAAATCATATCACTTCCATTAAAGATATACAATTCGAGATGTCTATGAATAAATTGTAGAGGTACTTTAAATGAAAAATATACGTTCGTTTCAACTTGATGACTCAATATATAGTGTATCTAAGTATACTAATATTAGTGATTACGAGATATAAATTTCAAATTTATACAGTCGAAAGTAATAAATAAATATTTAAGTTTTATACAAATTGAAACTGTAAACAAAAATACAGATATGCGAAGGATATATTGAAAAACTCAGTCAGTTTATAACTTGCATAAGTTTAGCTTATAGCTTAGATGGATGCAAATAAATTCTAGGGTCAGTGATGACGTAATCATGACGTCGAATATCATCCCCTCCCTCTCAACGTTCCAAAGATGATGGTCTTGAACTGAATCCTTAATTCGTTTTCTATTAAACACAAAGTGATGCATGTTTTGGATAGAAAATGATCGATTTGATGCAATAGCATTAGTGATTCCTAATTTAAAAACAATAAAACACTGGTTATTAGTTTCAGTTTTGAAAGATTGTTACGACTTTTTAACAGAATTGCGATTTCTATACGGATGGTTGGCCGTGTTAAGTTAAACACAGATGACGCTGAGGGTCAAAATTCACCGTAAGACTTCCGAGTAACTACTTCCGACTGATTTTTATTCCTAAGCTTGAAAAAACACGCCATCCAATATACTTCTAGTGTTGTCAATATATAACGCGTTCTTTCAATTTAACTTTCAACAAAACAAACAAAAAATGATTTTGGAAGACTCCGCAATCTTGTTATGATGCTACCCCGAAATAAAACAAACGGCACTATTTTACATAAATGAGGACAAATAAGGGAACACACTCAAAACATGGCAGGCCTTACACCTTATTTATGCTGTGATACTTGTTTTTTTAATGGCGGGCACTTGGGGTTTGTCCCATTGGCCACAGAAACTGCTACTCTCTTCTCGTTACCTAGTGGGCACCTGTGGCGAAGCCACGGCTGTGGAGCAGCGTCGCCCACGTCACACAACCACAAACCCGTTTATAGGGCGAATCACTTTCACACAAAGAGGAAAGAACATTCATGCCCTGAGCAGGATTCAAACCCGCGGCCAATGGCTCCGCAGTCAGACACGCTAACCACTCGGCCACCTGGTCGGCATGCTGTGATACTAATTTTGTTAAAATTATTTTAGACTCATGACCAGTTTGAATTAATAAATTACAGTAAACTCCTATGAATGGTAAAATTTCGGGTAAATTTAAATACAAATCACAATAACAAAGCTTTCTAGAATGCTAAGCCCATTCAAACATCTCCTCGTAAGCATAACAAAGGCAGAATGGCTGTTATTCAGTCGGTCTGACTGTGATGCGCTGAGGGTTAATGTATGCATAAAAATTTAATATATAATAAAGCGCAAATGGAAAGAAATTAGTCATAACTATTAATTTATTAAAAAATAGTCTGTAATAGAGCAATTGGTCTGTATTTTGCCTATAACAGTTATATTGGTTAAAACAAAACGCGTTCTATAACTTGTCCAGTGGCGGATCCAGCGGGGGATCATAGGGGTCATGACCTCTCCCCCCTGAACTTGTCACATTTTAAAAAGACCTAATTTTAACTGAATTCTCACATGCAGTATCAAAATACATTATCTGAAATACAATAACAGAAAGAAGGCTTATAACTAATTTTTTTTTATTTAAAATCATTTGCACTTGGACTGCGTATTACAATCATTTCAACTCTAAACGCATTGCATCCAGACTGACAGACAAACAGCAATTCTTTTACTTTAGTCTATATTTATACACAATATATGAGAATTGTTTTAATTTATATAAATAATTGGATATTTCCTTAGAATTTTTCTGGGACTATTATGAATTTCCAGTAATATTAACGTCGCATACAAGCCAGCATTTAAGTATATTGCGCGTTATTAAGTACTCAATTTACTAATAGAAATATGATTTTATACGTTTGAGTATTTGAATGAAACCTTTTGCAGCAGCATTTAGAGAAGGGTGATTCGTTTCGAAAGGCCATGATGGCAGAGAGGCCAACAGTTGCGGATTCGTTCAATTTACTAAACCAAGAATCATATCACTCATGGGCTGCAATCCTGCAATGGCTGCAATTAATGTCCTTAAAAGATAAATAAATATGTTGTCCTAGAAATTTTAGGTAGTTGACGCAATATATGACTTTCAATAGGACGAAGACTTGATTTCTTATATATCCGATTTTTTAATATAGTATTGATGGGTGGAAAAAAGAGTGCAAAGCGATAGATAAGTCAGTAACAATTTATGGAAGCAAACAGCATTTTACCTTAGAGTAATAAGAGACGATTACTGAAAAATTCTGCGGGTGGTGAAAGGCGTGGGAATCAAGAAAGAGAGGGGTACATTATTTTGATTTCCTTATCCCTTATGAGATAAATTTTCGAAAGGAAAGGAAAACTACTAATTGATGTCGGTTACACCGACATAGGGTACGCAATCAATTAGCGCTAACATAAGATTCTAATCTTGTTCTAAGGCAGCAAGCCAAATTAGATAAGTTTTTTTTCTCATGATACTAATTTTTCAAATTCAATAGTTTACAGGCGATGAACAACATCATGATGGAACCACTAGAAGATCTTGGTAAACACCAAACCCATTATCTAACCAACGTAACGATGGTTGGATGGTTAACATCCAATTGTGACAAATGATTTCCATTTACTGACATAATCAACTATGTAATCAACTAATACTCCCCTTGTAGCAGGTCCACAGGTGCGGTGCAACAATAATTCTGATAAATTGTCGCTACTAGGCCGGGATAGCCAGGTGGGCCGGGTGGGGCGTTGGGCCCATGTCCAGGAGTTCGTGGGTTCGGTCCCCGCCAGCCGAAGACTCCCCGTGTTGTAAATGGTGACTGATGCACATAAAATCTGTCGAGTCTCAAAGTCCTTCATGTTCCCATAACAAATCAAAACCTCTGGGGGTACTGATCCAGGAGTTTCCTTGCCTCCTGGATTGGTTCAAAATTACAAGGCTACGGCGTTGAACACTAGTAGTCTTAAACCCCAAAACTGACCGGCTGTTCAACGACGGTCATAAAATAAAATAAAAATTGATGTCGGTTCACCTTCCATTAAGGTGAACCGGGTTCGAATCCTGGCAATGGTTGGTCGATACCAATTCCGCATCCGGCTTGCACCGACCACAGTGCTGACGTAAAATATCCTCAGTGGTAGACGGGTTAGAGTCCCCTAGCCGTCAGGCTAACTGGGGGAGGTTCTTCTGGTCTTCTTTTCCATGTAACTCAAATGCTGGTTAGTTCCATCGAAAAGTCCTAAACTAAGGCAAATTTCTCCCAATACTTGATCTAGGAGTTCCCTTGTCATCTGGATTGGGTTCAAAATTACAAGGCTACGGAGTTGTAAACCCAAAAATTGGGTCGAATGTTCAACAACGGGTATTAAAATAAAATAAAATTGATGTCGGTAATGAGTGGGTTAGGGTTTTCTGTGCAGTTCAAATTGGTAGATTTTTTTATCAACTGTGAAGAGGCCATTTTATTGCTCTTTTGAAAGAAAGCTAGGAATTTTTTCTGTTGCACCCAACTAAATATTTAACAATTGTTTTATAATAAAAAGAAAAGATAAAAGAAAAAGAAAGAAAAAGGGAAACTTGCCAGATACAGTGGGTTGTTGAAACTTCTTGAGTCCCTTTAGACGCAATCTGGAAAATATGATCCCAAATTCATGCTACGACTCGGCCAGAATATTGCCTAAATTGATAGAAACAGTTTATTTTCATGACATTGTTCTAGGTAATTTACATTATTAAAAATGAATTTAACAATCTTTTTCCTAAAAGTATTTTTATTTTATTTTAAATTTTTAGTGATATTTCGGACGTAAGATTTATCGGACAGTTGGATAAAAATAAATAGATAGGTTTAAAAGAATTGCTTTTAATTTTTAATGTTATAAAAAGGAAGGAAAAATTCGAAACTTTTATAATTTTTTATTTTTTTATTAGTTTTTCGCTTTTTTCACCGATTAAAAAAGGAAATTTCAAATGCTAATTAAGAAGGGGGCGTGTATGCCCCCTAGACACTCTTGTGTACACGCCTGTGATCACAGAACTTATTTTGCGATAACAAGTGGATACAAAACCAATAAATGGTGTTACAATCGATATGACTGATACGCAGTACCTATGGCATCACAATATTTCATAACATTTTCAACAAAAGTCACAAAGAATCTAACATTCTTCCCGAATTGAGATAGTTTTAAAAATTTTAATAATCTATGTCCGTAAAAATGATATGTTGTTGAGTTTAAATGGTCAGAGAAATGAAGAACAATTAATTTGTGCCACTTTTATTTTTCCGTGTTATTCAATTTCATTTTTGGGACACTTGTTCAATTTGATCATAAGATAAATTATGAAAATATTTTTATCTTCCCATTTTTCAAAAGGAAAAAAAAAACTTATTTATCTTTACGAATATATATATATATATAATTTGTTGTTTTAATATACTAAATAATTTGTTGTTTTTTGAAATAAAAATTTAAATCTTTTACAATTTTTTTCTGTATATATATAGAAAAAAATTGTAAAAGATTTAAATTTTTATTTCCAAAAACAACAAATTATTTAGTTGCTGTTTAATTACCTCTTTTAATTCATGATTCAAATTACTATAGGACTAAATATCACATGGTGGAGAAGGAGATAATAGGCCCCCAAGGGTCCCAAAGGCCTTGAACAACCAAATGACTATGACAGAAACTACATTACTCATTTAATCTAATATTTATATGTATTATAATATATGTAATATATATTATATTTCATATATTAATTCATTTAATAATGTATTCCAGTACGCATGGATTATCTTTAATTTTTTAAATCAATGCTAATACTGCATGTAATTAATGTGTATAATGTTAAATTAATGTCCTAGTAATTTTTACGTTTTGAGCGATTTCTACAAAAATAAAGAAACAAAAAAATAAATAAATGTGTTTTCAAATCGCCTCAGATCTCAAAGGGATAATATATTTTGAATATCAGGAGGTGACGCATATAGGTTAAGTGACTTAAATTTACTTCTAAACCTTCATATTGTTACATTTTTAAATTGAAATGAATGCTGAAAATTAAATTTTTTTCATGTTTAAACATAAATTGGCAACAACTGTTAAACTTTTTGATATGACACCGTGACCACTGTTGATAGGTTAATAGAATAATTTAAAACACATAACTCAAACCCGAATTTACTTTCCAGATAATAACTAATAACCATGAAATTAAATGTTCACTAAATGTTAAAATGTAAAAGGTTGCAAATTCAGATTGTTTACTAAGCGTAATAAATTTTTTTGATAAATTTTTGGTAAAAATTATCCATTACATTATTCCTGATAAAACTCTTATTAAACTGCTGGAAAAAATGTGATTCCAAAATAAATTTTAATCGATAAAAATACTTTGATAAAACAGAATACTTCAATCTCACATAACCTTAAAGGAAAGCTCATATAATAACAACTAAGTTAAAAAGATACATCACTTTCCTTATCTTATAGAAAAGCTTTGGTCGCAATTTATACCAAAAAAAAAAGTAGTCCTCTTAAAA